GCAGGAATAACCTGGGTTTGGGCTGAGGGGCACAGACGGTTAGAAAGTACTGAGTGGCAACTGAATACGGTGCTTATTTTGGACTTCATGAAATTTGTCAATAGGTACACCAGACTATCCTTTAAAGTTTATAAGGTCCTTTTGATTTTGGTGGAGAAACAAGTTGTCGTATTGGAGCTGGAATAAACACAAAACGGTAAGGAATATGGGGGGTAAAAAAAAAAAAAAACACTGCTGGAAAATATTTGGCCTTCCAATAGCTTCATAGGAATCAGCAGAGACCAGCCGGGCCTTGTGTAACTAGAGCTGTTTGCAAAGCGTTTACAGGAAGATTATTGAACATCATCGGGCTGTGAATTGCAAACTCTGACTGACAAACATGAGTGGCACCATCCAAATGTAGGGTGTTTATTGAGCTGTGATTGACTGAACACAGCTAAATCTACACATATAATGGAGGGCTGATCAATGCAACCCATCTAAGAACGGAAGCAGATATTAGTCATCCATTTGACCTTGGATACAGGAGCAGGCCTGAGTTGTTATAAATACCAGCTTCTCATTCACTAATGCACATTAAAGCTCTGGGTAGCAGGGCTCCGGCGCACGCACACGTCTCTGTTTGCCAATGTTCACATGGAAAATACATCATGAACCAAAAGACAATAAAATGATGCTAAATATAACATAAAAGTGTGGTTATGCTGCAGCTGCTGTGGTTTCTTTTCATTTGCAAAGTTAGCATCACAAACAAGAACTACCTCTTATGCAAGTTGTGTCCTGTTTCTCCAGAATCCAACAGGCCTTAAAACAACTGCAGGATCTAAGTCTTGTTGCTGTCCGATCAAAGAAGCCGTCAAATGATGAAAGACCATGAAGGGATCCCGTCATTATTAATCACAGCTCATGTCAGTTCTCAGATCTTCACACTGGCCTCCTGTGCACCAAGGAAGTGATTTTAAAATACTGCTGCTGGTTTTTAAAGAGTCAAAATACTAGGGCTACGTCTCTTTATTCTGGGCCCAGGAAACAGACCCAACACATGAGAAACCTCACAAAATCTGCCCGATTACAGCTCACTGCGCTGGCCTCTCAAACTGGAATGAGGACAAGGTCAGTGATGTCTCCTTTGAATAACAAACTCCAGTCTGTTCACCATGAGCCTATCTTCAGACACAGAGACGCTACAATCAGTGTTACAGTGACCCTTATGAGTCACAACAAAAGACATTTTAACAGTGATTTAGCAATTATTCTGATACATTTCAGTAAATTCTACCACAGTTACTTTCATTGTTTATTCCGCCACTCATTTTCTCAATTTATCATTCAGCAGACGGTGAAAGATGTGCATCCTGGTTTACCTAGTTAGCCGACCCCACAGTGACCTGCTGCTCTGCTATGAACCCTTCAGACCTCTCAGATCTAGGACAGGTCTTCTTACTGTGTCCTGAGCCCAAACCTAGCACAGAGAAGCAGCATTCACTTTTTACACACCACGTAACTGGAACAAACTCCCAGAAAACTTGAGATCATTTCCAGCTCTTTAAAATCAGGGCTCAACATGTTTGTCACTACATTTTATTAACTTAATCTGGCACCATTTATTGATATTTTGCACTGCATGGTCATTTTCATGTACACGTTTAATCTTATGCCATTTTATCTCTGATGTAAAGCAGTTTAAACTGGCTTGGTGAATGCTACACAAACACATGCACAAGCCTTGCCCTAATGTCTGACTTAATTCCTCTGGAAACAGAGAGAGGGGAAGCGAGAGCAAACAGAGATGGAGCAAGAGCCAGAGAAATGGAGTTCTGCTGGTTGCTTTGTAAACTGCAGTAATGTCGTCGTGATGGGGTTTTTTTAGGGGCCTGTGCACACACAGAGGCTCATTGACAGGGCAGAGGAGAGACTTAGTGTGACCCAGAGGGTCTGCCGTGCCAGGGAGCTCCTTCCACTGAGCACAGCTGGCAGACTTACAGCCGCTAGTGCTGTCAGAGCCCGGCAGAGAGAAGCCATGATGGGAATGCAAAGAGAGTTGATGATGCTCTGCAGAGCAGTTTTAGCATTAGCTTCCCTGCAGGGTGCTCTTTCAAATGATGTAATAGTCCAAGGACACTTGTATTCATATCCAAGAGCAATTCACTATAAAAAAAACAAAAAAAAAAACAAATCTATATATTCTGAAAGACTAGAGACTGTGAATCTCACATTCACTTCAGTGTGATGAGGTCAGTGTGGGCTGTGCATTATTTACATCTTACTAGAATGATCACTGAACCCATTCTCAGACAAGCAACAGTCACGATTTAGCTATTTTTGTGCATTTTATGGAATGCCAGCGTTCAGTCTGCGTGAAGAAGAAAACAAAACATGGAAGTGAACTGACGCAGCTGGAGGCAGGTTGTCCAAAATGGTACAGGGTCATCCAGCAAAAAAAAAAAAGGTTGAACTATTGTTGCAATGCAACGTGATGTCATCTGTAAGGCGCCGGCTTTGCCTGTCACATACATGAAAGCGTGCATTCCTGATGGATTACTGTGTAATGTGAACATCTGCCGTTTAGCTCCAGATCATCACTACCGAAGATAAAACAGTTGCCACAGTGATAACTTTCCAGACTTGTACAATCCTGTCTGTGAGAATTAAACCACTATACTGTACAGCATTTGGTGTCCAGTAACCAATAAAAACATAAATCCCTTCCTCTAACTGGACTTCCTGGATCAGATTTCATTCTCTCACTGGTACATGAAACAACACACCTTCATAGACACACCCCGCTTTGGTGTTTAAAGCAGAACATGTCCTAATTTACCCGTTACAAGCAGTAGCCTACTACTAAGCCTGTAAAAACTGCTGTTTTATGTTTTCTGTGGCTTTGGAGGAGCGTTTTCAAACTTCACAAAGGAACCCTGATGATGTCACAGTGATGTCACTAAGACTATCTCAGCTTGGACTTGAATCTTAAGAGCAGGGTTTAAAAGAGGTTAGCCCACACTGAACAAATATGCCTCATGCCAGTCAAAGATGGTCATTCACCACGATTAAACCCCAAGTTATTAAATATGGTGCCATGTTGTCAGTGCACAGTAGTAGTCCTCACACAACCAATAATAATAATGTCTTAAAAATGGTCTTGATGATGTCAACGCAGGGAATCGCTCCCATCCATCCAGTGAGACGGAACGTCTCGGGTTCTGCCGCTTCAGTTTTGACTTCTGTCTTTTTATCCGTCTCTCAGCTTTATGGAATTTGGGGTACATCTTTAGAAGATAAGGAAAGTTCCTATGTTTTTATTTTCCACAAATCCCATGGCTAAGAGCAACAATGAATGCAGTGTGCTCACCGTAATGACTGTGAATCCAGACCCGGTTTAGCTTACTGGTCTGTGGCGCAGACATCCTAGCTGTACAAAAAGCGAGAAGGTAGCAGAGTGGTGTAAACAGAGATCAGATGACTCTTTCTTATTTCACACACTGTAGAAAGTGATGGCCTTTCTTATTCTTTGCAGCTTCTTTTTAAAACAAGACAGAGTCCACATGTTTGGTGAGGAAGCAACATGTCACCCAGTGCAGCAGCGTGGCTCACCTCTGTGTTCTTAATATTGTTTGGACCACACTGGATGTGCACAGACCACGGTCTGGTTTCACAGCGTTATGGTGACTATATGAAATTCATTGCTGGTTTTAGCCTCTGGATGGGATTTGTGGAACACAACAAAAACATAGAAAATCACTGGGTTCATCCTGTAAATATTGCAAAAATGTCACAAGGCTGGAGCAAATAAAGTGCTTAAATCAAAAAACAAAACGTGGATGAGCAAAGAAACAAGAACAATATATGATCAAATGCTGCAAATGATTTTTGAAGCAAAACAAATTCAAAGTGACTAGTTAGAAGCCTTCTAATGTGATAACCTCATACTTTTCTGTCATATCTAATGAGTATAATATTTGCCCCTGACCTTTATGAATGCACAGTCATTCTACAGAACACACAATGATAAAGCCATTAGCCTACATGTTTTTGTTTGGCTTTCTGTAGCTGTATCAAGAAGATACGTAACACAGGATAGAGGCAAAAATACTGGTGACTGACGATAAAAAGGCAGAAGACTAAAGCGATAACAGACAAGGTCGAACACAGCACGTAGCTTTTTGTGTAGTTTCTGTAAACGACCCTTCTCCACAACACAGCCACCGAGTCCGACACTGCCAAGTGTAGACACAGTGCAGCAAGGCACCGTGTTCACAGCTCAAACTTCCAATCAGTGAACACAACAGGGAGGATCATGTGTTTGTCTCTGAGCCAAGTGATCATGTGGTGCTTCTGTTCTTCCTAAAATGACTTCAATAGATACCTGTACTTGAAAACTGTGAGCCGTGCGGACACCGGTGTGCATTCATCGGCAAACAAAGTGCAACTTGACACCTGAGGAAAACGAACCTGTCATCTACTACAAATATGTAGCCATGTTGTCCTTTACACAAATTACCAGCTGTGATCACTGCAAAGGTCGGTTGAACTTTACATGGGTGTATACCACAGAGACCAAAAGTGGCAAAATATTCTCTAGTCTCATTGTCCCACATTAGAGGATTTGGTAATCATTTGAAAACCAGTCACTTCAGGGAATTTTCTGATTAACAATGCCAAACACCTTCTAGCTCCAACTTCTCTGATGTTTTGATTATGGTGCAGCAATTCAAAGCAGGACAAGTGGTTGATTTATCGATAAGAAAATTAAATGGCAACCATTTTGATAATCAATCAATGTATCTGAAGCAAAAAAAAAAAAAAAGCTGGACACTGATAACTCCAGGTTCTCACATGTGGGTATCTGCTGTACATCACTGAAGATTTACTATGTCTTGTTTTTGGACTGTGTATGGACAAAACAAGCAACTTGACGATGCCACCTTGGTTTTTATGAATAGGCAATGACTTTTTTTTTTATATGAAACAAATAACTGATTAATCAAGAAAACAACTAGCTGCAGTCCTAAAAACTATTTAATACCATCACCTTGGGCTTTTGGAAATTGTGACGGTCATTTTTCACTATTTCCCAAGATTTTATATAGCAATGAAAATAACTAAAGTTGCAACCCTGGTGAACTGTAATTTGCAGTGTTTTTATCCAAATGTCGCCATAAACAACTCACATGACCAGCTCTTGTTACGATCCTTGAAGAGGAGTCAGTCTGTCAGGCACCTCTGTCCCCTCAACAACAAAACCCAGGAGCTGAGGGAAGAGAAAACACATGGACACATTTTAATAAAGAAACTCCCAGGCCCCTCTTTGTCTAGTCAGAAACCTCCTGATACCTCTGCCAATCCCGTCTGTGAGCCATAAGACAGAAACCACAAGATCTGGCCGTGTGTAATGAGATCTTGAAAAGTTCGATGGCGGCAGTTTTACACTGGGGCGTTGGAGACCAGTGCCCTCTGTGACGGCCTATGGCGGCAAAGGCTGCAACGTTTCCTCTGCTCTGAGAGTGAATATGAAACCAGGAAAAGAAGAAGACGCTCCATTGCCCTCAGGAGACACCAGCGCTCAGCACACATCATCCATACAGAGACCACAAGCTCCCACTCCTCTATCTCGCCCTCTTCCTCAGTCTCTCCTCTTCTTGTCTTTCCTTTCATCTCTGATTCATTGTGAAGTGTAATAAAAGAAAGCTGGATGAATAATTTGGCAAACACAGCGTTTACTAGCTCCTTTTTTATGCCTTTCTATGAACACGTGCACTTCACAAGCTGACGTTTTAGTCTAATGTGGGATTCCCCCATTGACTGAACTCTGTTAATTATGTCCGGGTTTTAGAAACAGTTTTATTTACTGTACAACCAAAATGGGACGCCTTGTCTGCTGCAGTGTGTTCTCAGCCGGCGTTCTGTCCGGTCACTCCGGCTATGTTTAGGCACAGGGCTGCAGCATTAACTCTTTCATTTCCAAAAGCGGTCCACAGGGTAACAGGGCCTTATCTTGTTAGATCTTGTCAAACTGTAATGGGATTAGAGGTGTTGAGCATCTGCTCTCTCAATCTGGGTTTTAATAGAGCAAGAGCAGATCATCTGGTCCTCCTGGGAAAAAACAACCGACCGTGATCTGTGAACTGTCATGAAGCAAGATCACAATCATGGCAAATCAGAGCCTGTGAAAAATTAATAAATCACGAGACCTCAATGATCGTACATCATCAGAATTTAAGGGCAGACTTTGATTTCTGATGGTTGGATGCTGCCAAGATGATCAGCTGCTGGGTGAATTTCAGTTTGGTGAGATGCTGCAGATGAGGAGGAACAGATGAGATTCATGGAACGAGGGCACGGCTGAAAAAAATTCAATAGCAACTGAGCCGGAGCGGAGAGAAGAAATGCACAAACGCTTCTCAAATCATGTCAGAGGAATTCGGCACAGGCAAGGCATCTCAGTATATGTCAAACCCTTTCCACCTGCTGATGTGGAAACGCACAGATTGAAGTTCTTGCTGTGTTGGTGGGAGAAGTAAAAAATGTGACAAAAACACCAAATCTTCATGCGGTGGAATTAAACAAGATCAAGGAAGATTGAATCCACGCACCCTCTCTGTAAAAATGTAGGCCAAAGTTAAATTTTTTTTGCAGACACACCATTACCACGTGATTGCCAGCATCTGTAATAAAGATACAGATAAACATCAAAGAGGCAGAGAGATGTGGGTGAGACAGAATCAGGCTGGTTGGCTCCCTCGGCGCCGTTTCCTCTCTGATGTTCAGCTATATGAACCAAGACGAATTGTACACAAGCAATATTTGGGATGAGGAGCAGGGGTAGTGTAGAGGGGCTGGGGGAGGGGATGAAGGAGGGGAGCTCCCTTCCCAAAAGGCCTGAAAGGCTGGATTTATGCCATGCATGTCTGAGAGCTATCCAACAGAGCACAGGGATCCTTTTTAAATCTGTGCCAGGCAACCTTGACACACAGGAAGTACATCACAGGCACTGCATCACTGACCCAGCCACTGTTTTTGTTTGACCAACCACAAGCAACATATAGGCTGTGCTTTCCACCGCTATCATACCCTTCTAGCAGATTTATGACTTGGTTCCTGATCCTGTGCTGGTTCACCCATCTTTAAAACAATGCAGTGTGGTAGCAGCTTGCTAATAAATGTGTGTAAAGTGCGAGCTAGTCCACATTAATGCTAACATAAACACACACAGTGCAAATCAGAGTAACCTCATGCCCGTTCATGTCAACCTGACAAAATGTGTCCCTTCACTGTCACACCACCTCATTCTCATACAAGTAAAAATCTGCTTCATTTTGACACACAACACCTTCACAACAAGCACCGGAAAACACCATGTCAGCTGTAAAAATGGAATTTGTAAACGTGTAAATAGCCTACTAATTTCCCCCTGGATCAGCTCACCTTGCCCCTGCTGCCTTTTCAGTCATCCAGTCAGGGCATCCGAGAGCTCCTCACAGCAGAATGAATTGTAAGGCACCGGCAGAAAAGAAAAAAAAAGAGAGAGAGAGAGACTGGGAGGCCACAACCTTACATTGCTGTTTTCCGGCTGCAAAGGAGATTATTGTCCCCTTGTTAAAAGTGGCGTCGCCCTCCGAGTGTAGTGAGGAAGCTGGTTTCCTCTATGCTACAACTAGCAAAGGCCTGTCCTTGGTTATGTGCGTTGTGTGTGCGTCTGTGCTGTCTGCAGAGGCTGCCATGTCTCCCATTGTTCCAGGGTGAGTGAGGCAGGCTTCCTACCCCAATAGACCCTGCCTACTACAACAGCTGTGGACCAGCCCCCACCTCTCTGCCACTCTCCTTCTGCCTCTCCCCTCCTCCTCCTCCTCCTGCCTCTCTGCCAGTGCTGCTGCTGCTAAAACATTAACCCTGCAGCTGCCGGCTCAGGCCATAAAGATGAAGAGAGGGGGCTTATGCTTCAAAAGAGACCCTACTATGTAGCGGACAAAGGAACGTAACAGTGAGAGGATATCCGACAGCCGGGCTGAACTGACAGGACTCCGGCACAGAGCCATTCAGCGTCCTAGAAGGAAAACAGGCTCTGTGCTAAGGGGATTGTCTTTCCCAGTCACATTGATAGTAAATGTTGGACCGAGTCTTGTGTGACTGCACTGAGAAAAAGTCACTGGAAATTAATTCAGAACAGGCGACACAGGGCTGCAGCTAACAACCCTTTTCATTATCATTTGGTTGGCTCATTATTTCCCTCAATTAAGTGATAGTTCAGCTTGTGAAAATACCATCACGGGTTACCAGAGCCAAAGCTGTCACCTCCAAATTATTTGCTTTGTCCAACCAAAAGTCCAAAACCCAAAGATAAGCTGTGCTACAACCATTCATCAGCAGGCACCAGGTATCTTATTGCTGCTCTATCAGTACTGTTGTTTATGTTGGCTGATACGCAGCAAGTAGGGAAGTGCCAAACCAAGTCTGGGGGTAATTTAGAAACAACACATCAATTAGATAGTTTACCCAAGAGACCGCAGTTGATTAAACTCTAAAATATTATGCCTAGTAGGTCTATGGATTTTTGTCATGATAAACAGAATGATCTAAGGAATCTGTTCCAAGGTTACACAAAAAAATTACCATCAGTTCATATATGGTTATCAGTTTTTTTTTATTTTTATACTGACATGAGTATTGGCCTCAAAACTCCAGTATCAGATTGGACATGTTGGTCCATGATCTTGGAGATCAACTTCTCTTCTGGAGTTTTCCTCGGTTCTCTGCTTCACTTCAGTTTGGGCAAATATTTTCTTCTCATGGCTACGTCCAGGGAGGTTGGCTACGGTCCCATGGACTTTAAACTTCGTCATAATGTTAGGAACATTAAGCTGGAGATGGTTTTGTTGACCTTAACCTGTTATTTTCCTCCTTATCTCTTGTCCGTGTTCAGCGTGGTGCACACACTGATACCAAGGAGCACACTGAGCACCTTCCTCCATTTACACAGGCTCAGTGACTGATCATAAGACTGAACACAGCTGCGATACCGACTGAACACCACAGCCTGCCTGACAGACCACTGCAGTCCACCTACTGTATTTATCACCACTTCTCAGCCTTTTGTTCAGGCCATTGAGAAGGTCTTTGTAGCATGGGGAAGAATTTCACAGCTTCTTTATTCTGTGGCAAACTAAAGGCTGAAGGCATTCCCATGACAAAACAGCTACATTTCAACAGTTCTCAGGAAGAACGGAACATCGTTTCAGTGAGGTGCAATGCTTTTAGCTACATCTGTTCAGTGAAAAATAAAAAAATCTAGATAGTCAAACCAACATTCATGGAATTTTTACTTTAAAAAAATTAAAGGCTGCAACTGTTATTAGTCTAAAGCTGCAATAATGAGCTGATCAGCAGAAGATTAATCATGATAGATTAGCTAGTCATTTTTGACATTTTTTAAGCAAACATTCTAAATATTTGTAGGTTAAAGCTTCCTAAATTTGATGATTTGGTGCTTTTCTTTTTCATGTCAGACTGTATACTCTGGATGTGGGCCTGTTCAATATAACAAGCAATTAGAAAATATTATCTTGGCCTTTTTTGGAAATAGTAGCAGACACCTTTCACTTATATAGGCAAAATGCTTAATCAGTAATGAAATATTTGATCAAGGCTATAAAATGTGAATAAATAGTGAAAAATGTTGCTTGTTTTGTCCATGCAACCGTCCAAAACTTAGTAATATCATACAAAAAGGCAGCCAGTCCTCATAGCTGAGAAGCTGAACTAGTGAATATTTGTATATTTGGCAAATCTGCTCCAAAAATTAGTTCTAGATTAATCTACCAATTATTTGTTTCAGCTCAAACACCATGAGTGTTTCACAGTGGCAGCATAAAATCTACTACGGTGAAATATGTTGTGTCATGTCCCAGCTGGTCAGCAGCATTAAGGTCTTTTCAGAGCATCTCAGCACAGCGTTCCACTGCGGATTATTTCTCCAGGTTTTCACCCTGCGTGACTCATCTGCTTTCCCTGTTAATGAAGCCACATCATCGTCGTACCCCCGACAAACCAGACACACAAAACCAAATGTGATGACAACATGACTGGGCGCCAAGGCAACAACAGCAGCAGAAAGACAACATGGGTTTCATGACAAGACTGTGGGAGGATAATACAATAAAGAAGTGGAAGGCCAAACATCCCTGTGACTGACTCAGCAAACAATTTTTAACAGCAATTCTATATGTACTCATTTGAAAGTTGAGTGATTCCTTC